AAGATCGACAGCCACCATAGTCAGATTTAGAATTCTGGATTCTTTTGCTTCTAAGCATATTTCAAAATACCTTTTGTGTTACATAAGAGAAGTCTTCCTTTTGAATCTATTTTACTAGAAAGACAGGAACTAGAATTTAGCAAAGAGTATCCCGCATTTGTCTGGTAATCAGAGATAATCAGAAAGTTAGTAGATCAGAGGAAGAGATGAACAATGTTTTGAGGACAGAAAGTGAAGTTCTGTGTTGATATGGGCAGATAAGATCTTGAGATTTAATTTAGACCAGAGAGGAAAAGACAGGGCTCTGGGAGATGACTGGATCTAGGTAAAGACCAGAATAGGATGGGGACCTGGTAGTAGATCAAGGAGCACACGTGTGTGTGCATGTGTGTGCGTGTGTGTGTGGGGGGGCGGGTAGTGGTGGTGGTGGTTGGGATGATGGTGATGGTGGTGGTGGTTTCTGTTTTTCAGTCTGCTCACTGATTTTTACAGTGTTTTTTAATCCTTTTATCCTTGGTGCTGATCATAGCATGTTGAAGGAAATTATAGTCTCTAATGTATATTTGTGTAAATTGACTAAAAACACATCATTCCAGTAGTGAACTTAGTACTACTCTAACTGTGGAGAACATGAGATACCATTACTTTTTTTTCACATAGGATGATCCTCTAGCTCTGTTAGCTTTGAAGCTGTCAAATTAAAGATGCATTGGTACATTTTATGTGATAAAGCAATCTTATCTGTATTATTCATTTCCTGTTCCATTCTGTCTCCCTTTAAAAAGTAGTAATAAGTTCAGTTTTGAAAGTGAACTATACTTGTGTCTACTTATTTTAGTATATCCTGGAAGCAGAATGGATAGGTTCAGAAAAGAAATTTGAATGTAGGGTCTTTAAATAGAATCAGACAGAGGTTTACTTTGCCATAATGTAGCTAATTGCTTATTTCCAGTTAAGTGAAAATGTTCCCTAAGGCAGGGGTCACCAACCCCCGGGCCACAGACCAGTACTGGGTACCGGTCAGTGGCCTCTTAGGAACCAGGTTGCAAAGCAGGAGGTGAGCGGCTGGCCGGCAAGCAAAGCATAATCTGTATTTGCAGCTGCTCTCCAGCACTGGCATCACCGCCTCAGCTCCACCTCAGATCATCAGGCATTAGATTCTCATAGGAGCACCAGTCCCTGGTGCCAAAAAGGTTGGAGACCACTGCCCTAAGATACTTTTATTGAGGTGATGTTTTTTGTTTATTGTGTTGCTAGGTTTTTTTTTTGTTTTGTTTTGTTTTTTAATTGTGGAGTATTGGCTACAGATTTAATGCTCTGGTCTTTTATCTCTCTGTTCATTATGAGGTATTGTTTGGTGCCCTGAGCTCCTTCTTAGAAGAAAAGAAAAATCTTTCTTTAAAGGCTTTTCTTTTATTTGTTATTTTTCATGTATTTCTTCTTGTAGATCTTTAGAAATCTTTAGTACTGATCACATTTTCATATTTGTGTCTTAATTTAAAACTTGATGTTTTTATTAATTTAATAATTTCTATACTTGTCATCGATGGCCTGAAAGAACTGGGGATTATTCAGTAATCATTTGGGAATGCCCAGCTAATACATGGATTTTTGTAAGAGCTTAGTCTTAAGTGTAATGTTTAATATTCATTAGTAATTCACTGAAAAAAATAAAGTTTTCTTGTTATAGCACTGATGACATGAAGCTGTAGTTAATACAGCCAGTATTGATGAAGAAAGAATTAGTTTTAAAAATGGAGATTTGAAAACCACAATGAGAGATAGCTTCATACCCATTAGGATGCCTATTAAAAAAAAAGAGAGAGAGAAAGAAATGGTACAGCTGCTATGTAAAACAATATGGTGGTTCCTCAAATTAGACATAGAAGTACCATATAATCTGTAGTTCCACTTCTGGGTATATAAACAAAAGAATTGAAAGCAAGGTCTTAGAGATATTTGTACATCCATGTTCACAGCAGCATTATTTATAATAATCAAAAGGTGAAAGCAACCCAAGTGTCTTTAGGTGGCTGAATAGATAAACAAAATATGGGATATACATATAATGGAATATTACTTAGCCTTAAAAAGGAAGGAAATTCTGATACATGCTACAATGTGGATAAACCTTGAAGACATGCTAAGTGAAATAAGCCATTCACAAAAGGACAAATACTGTATGATTTCATGTATATGATGAGGTACATAGAATAGTCAAATTCATAGAATCCGAATGTAGCATGGTAGTTACCGGGGCTTAAGGGGAGGGAGCAAATGGACAGTTGTTTAATGGGTACAGAATTTTAGTTTTGGAAGAGGAAACATGTTATGGCAATGGATGATGGTATGGTAGTTGCACAGCAGTGTTAGTGTACTAAATGGTACAAAATGTACTGTATACTCAAAAATGGTAAATTTTATGTATATTTTACTATAATAAAAAAAATGAAAACAGAATAGACAAGTAAAGGAAGAAAGTTGAATAAAGAGAATACAAGACATTATTAACTAATTAAATCTATTAATGATGTCACAGTACATTTGAAAGAACCTGATTATATACAGTCTGTGTATAAGTTTGGCAGAAAATGGTCCAGAATTGATTCATATTGACTAATGTGCATAAAGTAGTAAAGTATTTCTATCTCTGCTTCTTTCTCCCCTTTTCAGAAGACCTGATAATATATATATAATAAAAAAATATTTTATTATGGTTAGTGGTCAGACCCATGCTTGTGGGTGTCAGTATTGGTTACATTGCTCTTTCAGTAATTGAAAGAGGATGTGAAGAATTTGGATAGAGTTCAGATGGGTCTTAAAGTTTTTTAGAGGAATAGAAAAATAAAGCCCATAAATCAAAGTTAAAGTACCTGGGATTATTACGCTTGCGGAATGGAAGCTTAATGGTTGCTTTAAAAGGAGTCTTCACCATCCTCTAATTGATATTTTGTATGTAGCCCCAGCTCACAAAGGGGTAATATTTCATAACTTCATTTCTTAGTTGATAAGAACAAATGACAAAATCATTAATAATATAGCAGCAGAGGTATAACATAGGCATAGTATACATTGCAATGAAAAATAATAGAAAATAGTATTGTACTGAATCATTGTTTCAGACTCCATGGACTTCAGAAGCTCCTGGAAATACTGTATTCTAAAATCTATAAATATCAAATATAAGATACTCTTATCAGGTCATGAGTTTACCTGATAGATGGTGGGAGAAGGGAAGGGCTTAATACTTCATGTGGCAGGGAATCACAGTGGTCAAGTTAATTAGTAATTTAGAGTTCTTTTTTTGTGGTTTGTTATAACAATTATCTCCAGCACCATTCCTTTACCCCCTTCTTAATGTGCTTATGTGTATTATGTGACATTCCTTTCTGTGTTTTTTTCTAAAGTCACCTTTGAGATTGGTCCCACAGAGCACAGTAGTTGAGAATTGGGTGGTGTGGGATAATTACTTTTTCTAAGTCTCCTTTAGTTTAGCCTTGGCCCTTGGTTTAATTGTTTGCCTCATAGCTGGTGTGCTGGGAAAGGAAAGGTAGGAACAACAGGATTCTGAAATTGCAGTAGTTTCTTTAATATCTCTATAGGGAAGTTGACCTGGATCTCAGCTGCTGTCCACATAACACCTTGATTTAACATGGCATGGATTGGCCTAGAGTAGTATGCATTCTGTTCCCTAAGACTTCACCCTGATTTTTCAGACTTGAAGGCCTTGAATTGGTTAGAACTTGAATTTGCTCAGGGCTTATGTACAGACTAGAATCTAACAGCCTTGGGAGCTTGTACATGTACAGATGTCTGGACCTCACCACAGAATCTTTCTGGGTGGAGTTTTAAGTATATAATTTAACTTTTTATTAAGGAAAAATATAAACATATTAAAAAGTAGACAGGATGGTATAATTAACACCTTTTTATCCACCATCAGGTGCCTATAATGAACAGTTTATGGCCAATCTCATTTAATCCATGTCCCCTTCCACTTTCTCTTCTATTGATTTGAAGCATATCCCAGATATTATTTTATCTCTAAATACAAAGTGTATATATGTTTATAGGTTCCCCAGATGATTCAAGAACTTTCAAACAGGTAGTATATATACATAGTAAAAATTAAAGTGGTAAAAAGGATGTACAGTGAATAGCATATCTTTCTCATTGCCCCCATTATTCTTGTTACTGTCCTCTAAGGCAAAGAAACCTACAATATCTTTATGTATGTATAGATATTCAATGTATATGCAAATATATACATATATAAATCTCTGTTTTTAGTTAAGCACGTGGTAATATCTATTGTAAAGTACACATTTTTCTGATTCTTGCTTTTTTCAGATAACAATATTATCTTGGGACTCAGACCATAATAGGGTAAACAGTCTTTTTATTTTTTTTTAAAGAGTATAGTTGGCATGTTTATCAAGATATATCTAACCAGTGCCTTTGGATGGATGTTTAGGTTATTTCCAATATATGTTGTTTTATATAGTGCTGCATGAGTAGTCTTGCATTATATCTGAATTGCATGATTATATGTCAGAGGGCATATCCATTTGCAATTTTGTTAGATACTGCCTAATTGCTTGCTCACTATCTATGTGTGTGATGCAGGCTCACCAGTTCTATTTTAAAAATGGTTTTCAAGTCTCTCCTATTTATGCTGATGCTTTTGTTTAGATTCCCAAGTATATTTATAACAGCTGTTTTAGAAATTCATAGCTATAAGTTTCATCATCTGTCTTTCTGAGTCTATTTCGATAGGTGTGTGTCCTGGAAGTGACTTTATGCAATACTCAAAATAGTTGAAATACTAACTAACCAAAGTAGCGTTATTGAAAATGCTTATCTTCGCAAAGGGAAAAAATTTTGATAGAATTTAATTATTTTTACAAATTATGGATTTGACTCTTAAAAGTTTTTGTTATGAGATTTAAAATTATAAATTTTTTTGTAGTTAATATATCCTTTTTCTCTTTCTTGTGCAGGTATGGCCTCACAAGTCTTGGTCTACCCACCATATGTTTATCAAACTCAGTCAAGTGCCTTTTGTAGTGTGAAGAAACTCAAAGTAGAGCCAAGCAGTTGTATATTCCAGGAAAGAAACTATCCACGGACCTATGTGAATGGTAGAAACGTTGGAAATTCTCATCTTCTCACGAAGGGTAGTGCTTTTCAGACAAAGGTGGCATTTAACAGACCTCGAGGACACAACTTTTCGTTGCAGACAAGTGCTGTTGTTTTAAAAAACACTGCGGGTGCTACAAAGGTCATAGCAACTCAGGCTCAGCAAGTTCAAGTGGAGGCACCTCAGATTGGAGCGTGGCGACACAGATTACATTTCCTAGGAGGCCCCCAGCGATGCGGATTGAAGCGCAAGAGTGAAGAGTTGGATAATCATAGCAGCGCAATGCAGATTGTCGATGAATTGTCCATACTTCCTGCAATGTTGCAAACCAACATGGGAAATCCAGTGACAGTTGTGACAACTACCACAGGAACAAAACAGAATTGTACCACTGGAGAAGGTGACTATCAGTTAGTACAACATGAAGTCTTATGCTCCATGAAAAATACTTATGAAGTCCTTGATTTTCTTGGTCGAGGCACTTTTGGCCAAGTTGTCAAATGCTGGAAAAGAGGGACAAATGAAATTGTAGCAATCAAAATTTTGAAGAATCACCCTTCTTATGCACGTCAAGGTCAAATAGAAGTGAGCATATTAGCAAGACTCAGTACTGAAAATGCTGATGAATATAACTTTGTACGAGCTTATGAGTGCTTTCAGCACCGTAACCATACTTGTTTAGTCTTTGAGATGCTGGAACAAAACTTGTATGACTTTCTGAAACAAAATAAATTCAGTCCCCTGCCACTAAAAGTAATTCGACCTATTCTTCAACAAGTGGCCACTGCACTGAAGAAATTGAAAAGTCTTGGTTTAATTCATGCTGACCTCAAACCAGAGAATATTATGTTGGTGGATCCTGTTCGGCAGCCTTACAGGGTTAAAGTAATAGACTTTGGGTCGGCCAGTCATGTATCAAAGACTGTTTGTTCAACATATCTACAATCTCGGTACTACAGGTAGGTGACACTGTTTGGTTATTTAATAAATGTTGAATTTTTGCTAACTGAAATCTGTGTGTGCATGTGATGAAAAAAGACTACTTCGGATAAATAAAGAAATCAAGGCAAGATCAGTTTAGGTTTGAGGTTTTAAAAAGATTTTTTAAATTTAGGCATAATATCTGCCCAAGCAGAATAGTAATCTCTACTGTAAAGTTCCATGCCAAAGATATTTGGTTATTTTTATTCTTTGAAGATTTGAAGGAATGATTGGTGATTAATGGTGGTCAAGTAGAATTCCCAATATGTTGGGAAAAGGATTTATAGTACTTTTTGTATATAGCTTTGGGCATTTCAGCACTTAAGAGAAATAGTTTATTAAAGTCATCAGATATAACCGAACATTTAGAAAAGTTATAAGAATTCAAAAAGTTTTTTTGATTAATGAGTTTAAGATTCAGACACACTTCCATGGCTGCCACGAATGTTCAGGACACCTTTTTATGAAAAGTTTTATTATGTTCTTTCTACCTATATGCTTTAAGTAATGCTATTTCAGGTTTGGCGCTATGAGGGGAATTTAAAGAAGAAAACAATTTCCATGTAAATATTGATAAAGTGCTACAATATCATGTTTAATATAATGCTAGCCTCAAGTACAGAAGAGTCTTAAGGGCTAGCTTACGATTACCAAGTTTCAGAATATGTTCTTGAGTATGCAAATGATTTGAATTTGTAGTTTTATAATTTTGAGAAATTGTTTTCATTTCAGCCTGAACAAATTTATTGTCTTGGTATAATCTAGAACCCCACGAGTCTCAACACAGTGGGCATGTATAGGATCTGCCAATATTGGCCACAGATAAGTTAGTAAGTAGATGATCTCATGCAGTTTATTCTTAGAAATTGTTAGAACATGAGGATTATAAATTTAGGCCTGACAAAGGGTAGTTACTTTTGGGTATTGCATCTGCGTTTGCACTATACCTCTCACCCTGATTAGCTTCTTGCAAATATATGCAGTAGTACCCAGGACTTGATAAAGGAAAAATTTATTAGCTATTACAAAAATCAACTCCAGGAGTGGGTCCAAGATGGCAGTGTAGGTGGACTGAGCTCACCCTCTCACAAGGATACATCAATTGTACACCTATATTTAGAGCAAATCTTCCTGAGAGTCACCTGTGAGCCAATTGACCGCAGTCTGAATAGGTTCTGTGTTATTAACTCCTTAGAACATGCAAGAGCGGGTGGCCACATAGAGAAGGTCGAGGAACCATGAGAACTATGTGGGAGCTGAGGGAAGAACCCAGGACCAGAGGAACAGTGAACATTGTTTCATTTCCCCTGAACTTGGCTAGTGGGCAGAGCTTTATCCAGGTTCTCTGGCTGACCTGCAGGGTGCCATAGCACGTCCCCAGCCACCCCAACTGGAGTTAGACCCAGCAGAAATGGGAGTGCCACAGCATGCATACAAGGGCTCGTTCTCTTAGAGATTGATCCAGCAGATGCAGCAGGCTGCTGCTTTGCACTTCCCCTAGACAGGGCACACAAGGGGCTCCCCTGCCTGAAGAGACTATGGAGCCAACAAAACACTGCAGTACTCACCTACAGAGCTACCCTGTCCAGAGAAATTGCAGAGATAGTGGGGTGCTACTGTGTGCTCATGTGGGGCTCCCTCCTAGAAAGAGTGGAGAGCTAACAAAATGCTGCAGTATCTGCATGCAGGACTGCCCAGATCAGAGAAAGTGCAGAGATAGAAAAACTGCAGTACTCACAGGCCGGGCTGCCCCTAGTGGAGTGAGTGTGTTGCTGCTGTGCGAGCACTCAGTGTGGGAGCTCCTTCCCCACCTGGGGAGAGTTCAGAACTACTAGAGTAAGGTGTGGGTGCATGTAAGGCTGCCCCACCTAGAGGAAGTGTGGAGCTAGGCAGGCATGCAGAGCAGCTCCACCCAGACCCTACTCTGAATACAGACAATTAAAACAACAGGGCACATAGGCACGATTGACTCATGTGGAATGAGAGGGGTGCTGCTGATTTTGGGAGTTGCTGTACCACTGGGGGAGGGGCTGAAATAGCAAAGTACAGTTTTGTGCCTACCGCCCCACCCAGGGAAAGTGTGGAGCTAGGAGTGCTTTGAGATGTGGGCAGACAGAATGGCCTCTCCCAGGTAATTTAAGCAACAGAGCACTTGGGCAGGGCTGCCTGCGGAGTGAGAGGGGCGAAAGGGAGCAGAACTAGCAAAGTGCTAAGGTGCGTGCACGAAGGCTTTCCCCAACAGGAGAGGGGGCAGATCTGGTGGGACCTTCGGATCCACACTTGCAAAGGAACTCTGCCTAGACCCAGCTCAGATCACAGACAGTTAATATAATAAGGAATGCTAAGAGCAACCCCATTTACATCAGGCAGCTCTGGCCAGATTAGAAGGACAAGGAAGCAAACACACACCAGGCTATCCACCCAAAACCCACCCCCTCAGTCCGAGGTGACACACCAGGCACCACATGCACCTGCCCCGACTACAGTCAGCCTAACAAAACTATTCAATGCATGTTGTACTCAGAAGTCACTCTTCAAATACTGGGAAAGATAACTACTCTCTATCCAACTCATACAAAAAACAAACAACAAAAAAACACAAAGCAAAACTAAATGGAGAAAAAGAAGAATATGCCTCGAATAAAGGAACAAGGAAAAACTCCAGAGAAAAACCCTAATGAAATGGATATCCTTCAGTCATAAGGATACATTACAAACTTGAGAATAAAGCAGAACTCAGAACACTTCAACGAAGAGAAAATATAAAAAAGAAACACATGAAAAATACAGTCACTTAAATGGAAAATACATTAGAAGGAATTAGCAGATTAGTTAATACAGAAGAACAGATTAATGACCTAAAGGACAAAATAGTGGAAATCTCCCAATTGGAACAGTAAAACAGAAAAAGAATTTCAAAAAATGAGGATAGTCTCTTTTAAGAGATCTCTAGGATAACATCAAGTGCTCTACTATTCACAATATAGTAGATTCCAGAAGGAGGAGAGGAAAAGGAGCGGAAAGAATATTTGAAGAAGTGATATCTGAAAATTTTCCTAATCTAGGGAAGGAAACAGACATCCAGGTCCAGGAAGCACAGAGTTCGAAACAGGATGAACCCAAAGAGACCCATACCAAGAGATATCTAATTAAAATGGCAGAAGTTAAGGATAAAGAATCAATCTTCAAGGCGGCAAGAATGGAGAAACAAGTCAAATACAAGGGAAACCCTGTCAGGCTATCAGCTGATTTCTCAGAAGCAACTTTACAGGCCAGAAGGGAGGGCAGGAGATATTCAAAAGTGCTCGAAGAAAGGAATCTTCAACCTAGAATGCTTTTATCCAGCAAGGTTATCATTTATATTTGAAGGAGAAATAAAGTTGCCCAGACAAGCAAAAACTAAAGGAGTTAATCACCACTAAACTGGCCTTAAGGAAATGTTGATGTGTCTTTATGCAGAAATGAAAAGACCTTAACCAAAAATAAGAAAATACAGGAAAGGGAAAAAAAGTTTCATTGGTAAAGGCGAATATACAGTAATCACAGTGAATCAACCACTTAAAAAAATAGGAAGATTAAAAGACAATAGTAGCAAAATTAACTATACTTACAATAAGTAATCAGGAGATACACAAAACAAAAAGATACAAAACATGACATCAAGAGCAGAATAGAGTAGAAAATGAAAATGTGCTCTTAGAATGCAGAATGCAATTGAACTTGAATGGTTATCTGCTTAAAATAGTCTGCTATAGATATCGATGGATATATATGAACCTCATGGTAATCATAAAACAAAACCATACAAAAAATACAAAATGAAGAGAAAGGAATCCAATCAAAACCAAAGAAATCAAAAGAAAGAGATCGAGGGAAGAAGAAAAATAGCAAAGGACGACAAAAACAACCAAAAAAACCAATTAACAAAATGCCAGTAAGCACGTCAATAATGACCTATCATTAATAACCCTAAATGTAAATGGACTAAATGCTTCAATCCAAAGACATAAGGTGGCAGAATGGATAGAAAACCAAACAACAAGCAAAGAAACCCCATGACCCATCAATGTTACTTATAAGAGACTCACTTCAGGTTAAAGACATATACAGACTCAAAGTGAAGGGATAGAGAAAGATATCTGTGCAGATTGAAATGAAATGTGGGATAGCAATACTCATTCTAGATGAAATAGACTTCAAAACAAAGAATGTGAAAAGAGACAATGATGTTACATAATTTAAAAGAGTTCGACCCAAGAAGTGGATATAACAATTGTAAATATCTACGTATCCAGCATAGGAGCACCCAAGTATATAAAGCAAATGTTAATGGACAGGCAGAAATTAACTGTAATACTATAATAGTAGGGCACTTTAATAATCCACTTCAGTGGATAGATCTAGACAACATTAATAAGGAAATAATGCCCTTAAATACCACATTAGACCAGTTTGACTTGATAGACAGACTGCAGGTTACACATTTTCCTCAAGTACACATGGAACATTCCCCAGGACAGATCACATACTAGACCACAAAACAAGCCTCAATAAACTTGAGAAGATTGAAATTACATCAAACATTTTCTGTTCACAGTGGCATGAAATTAGACATAACTGCAGGAAAACCCTGGTTGGGGGCGGGGAAGGGGGGACAGTGGAACAGATACATGGAGATTAAAAAACATGCTTCTAAACAACCAGTGGAACAAAGAAGAAACCAAACAGGAAATCAAAAACTACCTTGAGACAAATGAAAATGAAACACAACTTTACAAAACCTTTGGGATTCAGCAAAAGCTGTTACAATAGGAAAGTTTATAGCTATACAGGCCTACCTCAAGAAGCAGGAAAAGTCACAAACTAAATTTACAACCAAAGAAATTAGAAAAAGGAACAAACAGCCCAGAGTAAGTAGAAGGAAGGAAATAAAGATGAAAGCAGAAATAAATGAAATAGAAAAACAATAGAAAAGATT